GAATAAGGACGGCAACAAGGGGGGGGAGCCGTTCCATTCTCGGAGGCGTGACTTTGGTCTCTCTGAAGGCATGGTCGGAAAAGAGGGGGGAGACACGGAGGAAGGAGGAGGAAGAAGAGAGGGAGAAAATGATGGGGAGAGGAAGGACAATCATTCAGAACTCATCGGGGGTAGGGTCTTCACCAAGGCCTCGGCGACAGACTTGGCCCGCTTCGCCCTCACCATGCCCACTGCTGAAAAGATTCGCTTCCAGCCTTGTCGCCCCTTCTGTTCCCCTTGCCTTGTGGAGGGGGTCGCGTTCAGTGTCCCCATCGGGGGTTGGTGGGCAGGCATTCCGAAGATCGGAATATGTGCTATCTCTCCAGAGCGTTGCCGAACTGCTTCAGGGCGATTCGGCACGCTCTGCAATGGTCCGCGGCGCCCGAGACATCCTGCAGATTCGCCGGCTCTCAGAGATCGTCGTCCTCCTCCTCCTCCTCCTCCTCGTCCTGATGCTAGCCTGTTGCAAGTTGCAACTGCGAGGGTTTTGGCTCCTGTGGATGCTAGGTCAGCCTCCACAGTGGCCCCTCCGCGCCCTGGGCCTGTTTCCGTGCCGAGTGCCAAGCGTCGCCGCACTACCCCTGGACGGAACAATTAGCCCACACGGGCCGATGAAACCATTCCCGCCGCCCCCGTGCTGTTTCAAGGCGTGATCCCTGCGGAACCCGCGAGAGGCCACCGTCTCTGGGTCTCCTCGGGGCAGGCGGTGTTTTGTATCGTGCGGCTTCTACAGCACTGGCACCTCAGGCCACTTAGTGGTAAACTGTCAAGCGCATGAGCGTGCCCAGCGAAACCGACGCCTGTTTTTCTCGGGACGACACCCTGCCGACGAGGGGAAGGCCGATGGTCGGCTTATCCCTGGTCCGAGGCCGCTCCTGGCCACGGACCCCGAAACCCGATGGGTTCGGCTCCTTGTGGAGCCATAGTTTCCTTTTGCTTCTGGGCACTGGCGGCCTCAGCCCCCTGAGGACGCGCTAAATCTCGAATTCGGTACCTTCATAACAATTTTGGCCCTGTGTGCGGGCGGCCGTGATCCATTCGGTGGGCCCCCGCATGCAGCAGGGCATGGGTGGCACGTCCATTCGTGGCGCCCCTCCCATAGGTGGTCGTCTGTGCAACGCGCGACGCTCCCCTGCAGTGCCTCATCCTCCTCCTCAGAGGTGTCTGGACCTGATGTCGTCCCGGCCCTGGCTCGGTCTTTGGGGAGGTCCGGCAGAAGGCCCGCCGGCCGCCACGCGGCGGACGCCGACAGAGCTCGGCGGCAGGCGGCGAAAGTCCTGCCGCCAGGCCCACGAGGGGCCATCCTTCACCGAGCGCGTGCCACGACTCGCAGAGTGCCCACTCGCAAGCGTCCAATAAGCAACGGCTGTTCGACGCACTGGAGCTTCGCTGCCTCGATGCCATGGGTCCAGGCCGTTCTGCGAGCAGCTACTCTGCGAGCAGTGTTAAGTCGGGCCTGACCCTCTACAGGAGGAATAATCAAAAATAGTTTAAAAAATAGTCAGGGGACTATTATTTGATTATTTTTTGATATTTTGGCGCATTTCCTCAGTATGTTTAACATTTCGCCCAAAATTCGCCTGTATGGGGGACACGCCCGACCTAAGAGTAGTGGAGCGCGCTGGTCCAATCCAGGGTACCTCCTGCATCGGCGTGAGGTCCCCAATGAGTATGCGGGCGAAGCAACAGTTCGAAAAACATGTTCGCCCGTCGGGGACGCCTGGCCCCAGGGCGGCCGGAGAGTTTCTACCCATTCGGTGGCGCGACGGGATGTAAATTTCCCAGCCGCCCTGGGACAGGCCAGGCGCCCCCGATGACGGAACTTTTTTTTTGTACGTTTCTCCGCCCGGTAAAGGAGGTCCCCAAGACGCGCCGAGGTGGCTCCTTTAGAGGCCCCGGAGTCGAAGGCGACCCCAAGACGGGCCCAAGAACCCCAGAGCGGGGGTCACTGTGCGGCCGTCGGGGGGAAACAGTAATGGAAGCCTCCCTATCGGCGAGAGTTGCGAAGTGTCACGGCCTCGATACGCATGTAGCGGGCGAACGTTTGGATCCACTTTGGGGCGCTCTTGGAACTCATGTCGGGCCTCTTGGGCTATCATTGGGTCTCTTGGGGCCCTCTCGTGGACTCTTGGGGCCAGGTTGGTGTCCTTTGGGTTTTTGGACCAGTCTGGAAGGTCATAAAAGCCGTCTCGGGAGTCTCGGGGCCGTCTTGTCGCCGCTCGGGGGCAGTCTCAGAGGCTAGCTTCGGTCCTTGGGGGGAGGCATCCTGGGCCATCTTTGGGTCGTTGGAGGGCCTCTTGGACCTACCCTGAGACTTCTGGAGGACATCTTTCACGAGCTGGCAACTAGCACATACCTATGCGACACTGGATTTCTCGGGGTCTAATTCCATGGGCTTGGGTGGGAGTGTGTTGTCGGGTGAGGCCTCCGCGCTCGAACATGAGCCCGCTTTGGCGTTCAACATCCCGCACCCATACCTATAGCGCCCTCATCGCCTTGCCCTTCTCCATTCCTTCTCCACATATGTATGAGCGCGCGTTGTTCTGCCATCAACATTGCGACTAGGTTGAACGGACATGCGGGGAATGCCAAAAACATGCGAGACCTAACTGCTATTCTTTGAGGTCTCGGGAGCCTTCCGCAGAGCTGTGTCGGGGTCTCGGGTGGTTTGCTGGGGCCATCCTGGCGCCAGATTGGGGCGCCCTGTTGCCGTCCTGGAGCCCACTTTGGGGTCTGGTGGGCCACGTCGCAGTTGTCGTGGGGGCTTGGCTTGCCGGGGTCCGGTGGTCATTTTTCTGGAGAGGGCCACAGCGAGATCGTCCCCCCCAGAGGTGCGTTGACGAGAGCGTCAACCCCCCAGGGCTCGTTTCGATTCCGATTCGATTCGATTCGATTTCGATGGCTCATGATTCCGATTCGATTCGACTTCGGATTCCGATTTGAACTACGATTTCTTGATGAACTCCCGCCGATTCGACTTTTCCCGACTCGGCTGCCGATTTCCCCCGAGCAGATTCGCTTCGATCGCCGATCCGATCCGACTTATCGATTCGATTCGGGACTCTCGATACGCATGTGGTGGGCGAACGTTTGGATCCACCTTGGGGCGCTCTTGGGACTCTTATCGGGCCTTCTTGGGGCCATCATTGGGTCTCTTAAGGCCCTCTCGGGACTCTTGGGGCCAGGTTGAAGTCCTTGGGGTTTTTGGACCAGTCTGGAGGGTCATAGAGCCGCCTCGGGAGTCTCGGGGCCATCTTGCCGCCGCTCGGGGGCAGTCTCAGAGGCTAGCTTCGGTCCTTTTTGGGGGCCGCAGTGGAGGCATCCTGGGCTCTCTTTGGGTCGTTGGAGGGCCTCTTGGACCTACCCTGAGACTTCGGGAGACCTTCTTTCACGAGCTGGCAACTAGCACACATACCTATGCGACACTGGTTTTCTCGGGGTGGAAGACCGTGGGGGATAGATGTGTGTGTGTGTGTTGTCGGGTGAGGCTCCCCCGCTCGAACCGGAGCCCGCTTTGGGGTTCGACATCCCGCGCCCATACCTATAGCGACTTCATCTCCTTGCCCTTCTCCATTCCTTCTCCCTGCATGTGTGAGCGCGTGTTGTTCTACCATCAATATTGCGACTTTGTTGAGGCCGCAGTGGGGGCATCTTGGGCTCTCCCGCTCCCCTCCCCCCCCTGCTCAAAGGTGCTCCTGGACCCTGGCGGAGGGGGAGCCCGAGGGAGGGCCAGAGCCGGGTGTCTCACGCGCCTGTGCCCCCCCAGCCGACGGGGGTCGGTGGCTTCCCTCCGCATCCCCACGCTAGGCCTTTCAGTCAGGCGATCGCAAACATGGATCAAGGGGGCGTGGATTTGCGACGGGTTCCGTTTCCATGGGGAATCGCGGAGTTCCGCCGCCGAGCGAGGCGGTGCCGGCCGCATTTTGGGGAGGGCTCCTCCCCCCATCCATGGATCTGTCCTCCTCCTCCTTGGCCGTCCCCTCTCCTCCTTCTCTTCTCCTCCGCCTCCCCCGCCCACATGATTTGTATTACCCATCCTGGTCGTATCATGTTTCTCCTCCAGCCCCTCCCACTCTTCCCCTTCTTCCCTCTCCTTCTACACCCCTCCCGCTGCAGGCCCAGATGCGCGCGGTGCAGCAGACACGGGCGTTCGACGCGCTCGATCGGGAGCTCGTGGCGGAGATCTACGAGGTGGCAGGGGGCCGACTGGACGGACCTTCGACGGGGCAAGTGCCTCGAGTCGTCTGGTCTGTGGGACGGGAGAGGAGAAGGAGGGGGAAGACGAGAAGGAGCAGGAGCAGGAGGAAAAGGAGGAAAAGGAGGAGAAGGAGGAGGAGGAGGAGGAAAAGGATGAGAAGGGGGAGGACGATGAGGAGGAGGGGAGGATGAGAACGATGAGGAGGAGGAGGAGGAGGAGAAGGAGGAGGAGGAGGAGGAGGAGGAGGAGGAGGAGGAGGAGAAGGAGAAGGAGGACGAGGGGAGCAGGTCGGTCGGTCGGTCTCGGCACTGCCTGCCAGTCTCTAGTTGTCGAGGAGGCCCCCAGATGGCCTCGAGGGCCCGAGGGGGCGCCAGGGTGCCCCATGGGGAGCCCCAGAAGTCCCCTGGGGAGCACTCCGAGAGGTCGCCGGGAGGACCTCGGGAGGCACGGCTGGGCCTGAAGGTGGTATTGGCTGGATGGCGGCCGTGTCTCGCTGTCCGTTCTGGCAGGGAGGTGCAGGCACGCAGGCAATTAGGACAGAGCGGAGCGCGAAGCGGAGCCAACGGGAGAAGACAACGTGTCGGTCCAGCCCTGCCCCAGATGCCCCCAGGAGCTCTCCAGGACAGGGCTGGACCTAAACGGTGTGTTTGGCGATTTCGTGGGCCGTTTTCGTTTCGACTTCGTTTTGCGGTACAGGCGGATTTGAGACAAAAGCGAGGGAAGACGAAAACAAAACGAATATGAAAAACATTGTTTGGGTCAAGCCCTGCCCCAGGAGCTCTCCAGGAGCTCGCCAGGATGACGTCAGGAGGGGCCAGGAAGCACCCTGGAGGGTCTGGCGGCTGTGAGCCTGGGCGCCGATTGCTCTGGGGATCCCCTCCTCCCTCGCTCCCGCGATGGCTCACAGCCCCGCTTCCTCGACCTTGTGGCCAGAACTTGGCGTCTCGGTGTGTGTATCTTAGGCATCGCGCAAGTCTCAGGAGGGGAAGGAGACGCAGGCACAAACGATCGGCGCCTCCCCGCAAAAGTAAGGAAAAACCATGGGAGGTGGGGGGAGACGACGCAAATTCAGCAAATACGGAAAAATCTTGGGTTTCATTGGATGTGTGTTTCGTTTGTCTTTGGGCCCCTTGAACATCAGAGACCAGAATCCCTGGGATTACCTGTCTGGTTCACATCTGTCCCCCCCCGCTCTGCCCTACTCGCCTGGCAGCCACGCAGGCGCGGAATCCAGGCGGCCTCGACCTCGCCCCTCGGCAGTGCCAAAGGAGCAGGATTGCAAAGCAGGCGCGTCTTGCAGGGAGCTGATGGAATGGACATATCGGGCAGTCGGACCGAGGTATGAGATCGAGGTCGGTTCGGGGAGGGTACCCTACTGTTCATCGTGTTGATGGATATTTTTGTGCATCCTGGGGGATCCGTTTGGCCTGCGGGGGTCTCGTTCTCTTGAAGGATGTTCTTCTGTTCTCGGGCCGTATCGTAGTCGCGCCCTCGTCATCGTCCCTGTCGTCCTCTTCGCCGTTGCCTTGATGGGTCCTCGTCGTCCTGGCCATCTTTGCCGTCGCGGCAGCGTTGTCGTCGTCACCCTCGTCGCCATCCTCGCGGCCACCGCTGCCGTCGCCCTCATCATCGTCGTTGCCCCATTCTTCTCCCCTTTGTTCCTCTCTCCTCTTCCCCGTCCGCTCTGCCTCCGCCTCCTGCCTGAGCCCTCGGCCCCGCCCCGCGACTCGAGGGCAGGGGAGGTGTTCTTCAACCCCCCCGGCAAGTGGAAGCGCTCGCGGCCCGGGGAGGAGGCGCAGGAGTTCCCGCACGGCCAGGACCCGGCGCCCACCCGACTGCCGGCGATGGCTACGTTGCCCCACCGGCTCTGCTGCCCCATCCCTCTGTCCATCCTCTGCCTCGGCCCCCATCCCGATCCCCCGACAACCCATCCCCCTGCCAATCCATTGCCCCCAGCCCTCTGCCCTATCCTTTCTCTCCCGAGTTGGCCCCAGACTTCCTCACACCCGACCCTGCCCCAGCTCTTCCCTCGAGTGCTCCCCACACTGCCCACCCACAAAGTCCTTCGCCAGATCCAGCGCTCTCCCTGCAGTCGGCCCAGATTAGTAGGTCGACCCTGCCAAATCCAGGGCACTCTTGTGTCCTCTGCATCGCGCGTCGTATCCTCCTGCAGCCCAGGGGCAAGGTATCCTTGCGTCCTGTGGTGTTGTCCTGTGCCCTGTCGCGTGTCCTGATGTTGTGCCTGCAGATCCCCTACCCCCATGTCCCCAATCTGCCAATCCCTCCCCCTCCTCCTCGCCCTCCTCCTCGCCCTCCTCCTCCCCCTCCTCCCCCTCCTCGCCCTTCTTGTCGCCCTCCTCGCCCTCCTCGCCCTCCTCCTCGCCCTCCTCCTCGCCCTCAATCTGCCTCCCACCGCCTCCCCAGGGCTGGCCTTTTTTTCACCTCCCAGCAGGTTCGGCTGGCGCTCCCCGGGCCCCGAAGCGGCCAGCCGGGCGCCGAAGGTTGCGCAAGACCGGGGTCGCAACTTGCTGCTGTGCTTCTCTGCTTTTCGCATGACGTCGACCTCCAGGGGTCTCGAGCCATTCCCCGGGACCTGTTTTTCATCCTGAGTCGTCTTTGACGGTCCCGAGGGCCGGTAGGGGCCCCCCGGGGCCGAAAAATAGCGAACAACTTCCCGTCGTGATTTCCTCATGACTCGAGGGGCTCTGGGTATGGAGGTTTGGAGGCCCACCTCGGACGGGACGACGACGATGACGACGATGACGACGATTTTTTGTGGTGCTGCATTATGGAGGCCTGGAGGCCCACCTCGGGCGGGACTGGGACCCGGGTACGTCGTTGCAGGTCGTTCCGGAGCTTCCGCAGAGCGTCTTGGAGCGACCTGGAGCGGCCGAGGTGCCCGATGCATTCTCCAGAGCCGCTTCGTCTCACTTCTCTTCCGTATGGCCCTCCCCCTCCTCGCTCTCCCTCTCCCCCTCCCCCTCCTCCCCCTCCTCCCCCCTCCTCCTCCTCCTCCTCCTCCTCCTCCTCCTCCTCATCCTCCTCATCCTCCCCACCCATCCGCCTCCTCGCCCTCCTTCTCCTCGCCCTCCCCGTCACCCCCCTCGCCCTCCCCCTCCTCCTCGCCCCCCGCCTCCTCGCCCTCCTCCTCCTCCTCGCCCTTCTTGTCTGCCTCCTCCTCGCCCTTCTCGTCACCCTCCCCCTCGCCCTCCTCTCCCTCCTCCTCGCCCTCCACGCACGCCGCGGGGAGGACTGGCCGCGGCTCTCCAACGCTCAGCTCCGTCAGGCCTGCGCCGAGCGCGCCCCGTCCTCAGCGGCCCCCCTCGCGCGCGCCCAGCACTCAGAGGAGAACTGAGGACCGAGGCGGAGGGGATTGAGCAGGTGGCCTGACCCAGACCCCCTCGAGTTCAGCAAAAAAAACACGACAGGAGATTGTTAGCTATTTCCGGCATCTGGGGGCCCTTCTTGGCCTTCGGGTCCGTCAAAAAAGACTCGGGATGAAAAACTGGTCCCTGGGAGTGGGTCGAGACCCCCTAGGCGTCGACTTCATCGAAAAAATCGTGACGTCGGAGGTTTGGGGAGAACACTCCAGCTCGTGCCTCACACGTACGGTGGCGGAACATTTCGTAAAGGGTCGGCAGTGCTCCAACGGGAAGAGGGCCAAAGAGCGCCTAAGCCTGCCTGGGGCGTGGTTTCCGCGGCCTTCTTGAAGTCTTTTAGTTTCGGAGCCCCCCGATTGGCCGGTGGCCTGGTGGCCCTGGCATGGGCTTGGTAGCCAGCCGACCTGGAAGCCATTCTGACACCACTTCGGGAACCACGGCCCAGAGCAGCAATCTAGGCTCGGGGGAGCGTAAGACCCGGGTTTGCCAGGACTCGGGTTCGCCATCGTTTTTTGACGACCGCGCCTCGGATTTTGACGAGGAGGAGTTTCGTGGGATGTCTGCAGCGGGAGGCCTCGACAAAATGCAGGCTCGGCCTCGTCATTTTTGTTGACGACCTCGTCGGGCCAACCCGAGTCCCCCGTACCCGGGTCTTACGTCTCCCCGATAGGCTTAAGTCGGGCCTGTCCTTCTACAGGAAGAATACTCCCAAATAGTCTAACAATCGTCTGGGACGATTTTTTTTATTTTGTTTTGACTATTTTTGAGCATGTGTTGAGTATTCTTTAGTTGTCCTCCAAACTTCGCCTGTAGAGGGATCTGCCCGACCTAAATCTCCGCCGATGCATCGACGATGCGGCTCGATGTCGAGCCAGAGTTTCTCCGCCCCGATGGCGCCAACGCATCGCCGACGTCGCCGTTGCATCGCCGATGCATCAGCCATGCGTTCGCGATGCGGCCTGATCCTCCGACCCCTTCTACGGGGACCCCATCCAGGAGGCCTCGAAGCAAGCCGCTGCTTTGTCATGCTCGCAAGTCTTTTCGTATGCTGGCGCCAGGCTCCAGGGCGGACGGCGGGACGGCACCGAGAGAGGGCCATTGGGACGGGGCTAGGACGAGGGCAAACCTGTTTCAGAGAGTAGTGGTTCGGGCCGTTACACCCGGGCCATCCTTCAGAGCCGCCAGATTTTCGGGGGCGGCAAAGAGGGGGTGGTGACTAGGAGGGATGGATACCATGGCGGGGGCCATGATACTTCCCCAGATTTTATGGCGCCTCTTCTTATTTCATTAAGTCCCTGCCCCCCCCGCTGGGCCGCGCACATGCCGCCGGTCATGATTTGCACCCCCCCCTCTTGGACACCGCCCTATTGGCCTCTCCCGAGATTTCAAAGGTTCGCAACTCATCCTCGTCCGACTGTGTCCTCGTCTGGGCTTCGTCTCAGCCCTGTGGTGCTGAGGACCTGCCCACCGGCGGAGACCGCGGCGCGCTGGTGGCGCTGCTGCGAGCGCAGGAGGACCCTTTCTGCCCTCCGAGGCCTGGACTTGGCATCGTTCGGACGTTTGCATTTTTCCTTCGGCGACGACCATCGAGGAGAATCCTCGATGATTTGGCGAAGGAAACCGCATACGAAACCGAAACAAACACAGGGAATGGACGTCCGAGCGATGGCCAGTGGAGGGAGGGGCAGAGAAGGAGGAGGACGGTGAGGGGGGAAGGGGTACAGTCGAGCCTGACCAGCAGGCCGACCCTGCCAGTCATGGGTGCCCGTGTCTCCTGTGTTTCGCGGCCCATGCCGTCTGCACTCGTGGGGCGAGGCTGCCCTCGGAAGGAATTGTTGTCCTGTCGCGCGTCTTCTCCAATGGGACACACTTGTACGGCATGGAGGAGCGGAGGAGGGGGGGAAGGGAGGGAGAGGAGGATGCTCAGGCTACGCAGGATCAACGAGGGGAAGAGGAGAATGAATGAAGCTGACGAAGCTGATAATGATGGTGCCGATGATGATTATGTTGATGATGGTGATGATGATGATGATGATGATGATGATTATTATCATAATGCTGCTGATGATGATGATGGTGGTGATGATGATGCTGATGATGCTGATGCTGATGATGGTGATGCTGAACATGATGATGGTGGTGATGATGATGATGATGCTGATGCTGATTATGATGATGCTGATGATGGTGATGATGATGATGATGATGATGATGATGACGGTGGTGATGTTGGTGATGCTTATGGTGATAGTGATGATTATGATGATGATGGTGATGCTGATGATGATGATGATGATGATGATGATGATGATGATGATGATGGTTGTGATGATGATGATGACGCAAAGGAGGATGAGGAGGTTCTCAGGAGGAGCTCCGCAGGAGGATGAGGAGGCGTCGAAGGGTGGGCAGGATGCGTTCCTTGTTGTGATCATTGCTGGTCGTCTGTTTGTTATGTGTCTTCTTATTTTCGTTTCGTCATATTTGCCATATATGTAATAACTTGCGTGATCGGCACTCAAGGCACGAGGTACGATTTCCACACGTATGCATGTAAACACATGTGTGTAATCTTTAGGTGTGTATATATATACATATATGGGAGATCCCTGCCCCCGCGCCCCGGGCCGGAACCTCCCTTGTATATGCGTGGGTCCCTCCCCTGGCGGCGTCTCCAGGGGCTCCGAGACGGCCCCAAGAAGGCCGAGGAGGCCCCCAAGTGGTCCCAGAGGGCCCCGAGACGCCGAAAGATCGTTCCAAGACGCCCACGATGATCCCAAGACGGCTTCAGTGGCCTCCAAAACGCGGCTAGCGGTCTCCAAGAGGCCTTCCCAAGATGGTCCCAAGAGGCAAAACAGGCCCAACAATGTCAATACACAGCCCAAGAGCCTTCCAATATGTATGTATATATGTGTATGTACATATATGGGAGATCCCGGCCCCCGCGCCCCGGGCCGGAACCTCCCTTGTATATGCGTGGGTCCCTCCCCTGGCGGCGTCCCCAGGGGCTCCGAGACGGCCCCAAGAAGGCCGAGGAGGCCCCCAAGTGGTCCCAGAGGGCCCCGAGACGCCGAAAGATCGTTCCAAGACGCCCACGATGATCCCAAGACGGCTTCAGTGGCCTCCAAAACGCGGCTAGCGGTCTCCAAGAGGCCTTCCCAAGAGGGTCCCAAGAGGCAAAACAGGCCCAACAATGTCAATACACAGCCCAAGAGCCTTCCAATATGTATGTATATATGTGTATATACATATATGGGAGATCCCGGCCCCCGCGCCCCGGGCCGGAACCTCCCTTGTATATGCGTGGGTCCCTCCCCTGGCGGCGTCCCCAGGGGCTCCGAGACGGCCCCAAAAAGGCCGAGGAGGCCCCCAAGTGGTCCCAGAGGGCCCCGAGACGCCGAAAGATCGTTCCAAGACGCCCACGATGATCCCAAGACGGCTTCAGTGGCCTCCAAAACGCGGCTAGCGGTCTCCAAGAGGCCTTCCCAAGAGGGTCCCAAGAGGCAAAACAGGCCCAACAATGTCAATACACAGCCCAAGAGCCTTCCAATATGTATGTATATCTATATGTATGTATATATACATATATATATATGTGTAGGTTTATGTGCGTATGTATGTATGTATGCATGCATGCATGCTTGCATGCATGCATGCGTGCATGTATGTATGTATGTGTGCATGTATGTATGTATGTATGTATGTATGTATGTATGTATGTATGTATGTATATGTGTATGTATGCATGTATGTATGTATGTATGTATGTATGTGTGTTTTTTATGTACGTGTGTATGTATGTATACATGCCTGCTTGCATGCATGCATGTATGTATGTACGTACGTACGTACGTACGTATGTCGTATGTATGTATGCCTGTCTGTCTGTCTGTCTGTATGTGTATGTATGTATGTGTGTATGTATGTATGTCTGTCTGTCTGTCTGTCTGTCTGTATGTATGTATGTATGTATGTGTAGGTATGTATGCATGTATGTATGTATGTATGTATGCATGTATGTGTATGTCTGTGTGTGTATGTATGTATGTATGTAAGTATGTATGTATGTATGCATGTATGCAGGTATGTATGTGTGTATGGCTGTATGTATGTATGCATGTGTGTACGTATGTATGTATGTATGTATGTATGTATGTATGTATGTATGTATGTATGTATGTGTGTGTGTATGTATGTATGCATGCATGCATGTATGTATGTATGTATGTATGCATGTGTGTGTATGTATGTATGTATGTATGCATGTATGTACGTATGTCTGTCTGTCTGTCTGTCTGTCTGTCTGTCTGTCTGTCTGTATGTATGTATGTATGTATGTATGTATGTATGTATGTATGTATGTCTCTCTCTATATATATAGGGGAGGGGGTCCTGGTCCCCCCGAAGTGCACTGATTTGTCTTCTGGCCGTTTCGGGCCCGGCGGGGGGCGGCAAACAACGTCAAAGGGGGCGAGAGACGTCCACGAGGGCGCATTGATGGCCCAAGAGCGCTCCAAGAGAGCCCAAGGCCGCACAAGAGCGTTCCAAAATTGGTCCAACATGGCTTTGAAGACAGCGTAAGAGGGCTTCAAGATGGCCACGATGCCCTCAAGGGTTCCCACGAGGCACTCGGGAGGCGAACCAAGTAGGCTTCCTCAATGGTTTTTGACGGTTGTTCGTGTTCTCGTTGTTTCGTGCCGCCCACGGTCCAAGACAGCCCATGAGGCCCCAGAAACCAGCTCAAGACGGCCCAAGAGGCACCCAAAGAGGGCGCCACGACGGCGCAATAGAGAGCCCCAAGACGGCCCAACGAGTGCCCCAAGGCGGCCCCAGAGGCGCCCAAGATCGCCCCAAGAGGGCCCTAAGACGGGCCCAAGAGGGGGAACACGAACCGACAATTCGACCCTTCCGCCCCAGTAGGCCTCCAGGAGGCCCCCAAGAGGCCCCCAAGAGAGACCAGGAGGCCCCCTAGCGGCCCCCTAGAGGCTGCACGAGGCCCCACAGGAGCCCCCAAAGACGCCCCACGAGCATCCGTAGATATTTTGGCTCAAGGTGGCTCTGACTGCAGTGCGCAAGCGCTCATCATAGTTGCCCATCACCATGCAGACCCCGCGACCAGGCCCCTGGGGCCCGAGGCTGCCCACTCTTCCCAAACTCCCCCTTCCCCCCGCGGTGCCCACTGTTTCCCTCGGGGTCCTTCGGGGGGCTTTCGGAGGGCCCGAAGGCGCTCCCCAGACGGTCCAGGAGGCGTCCGAGACGGTCCAAGAGTGCGCCAAGACGCCCAAGATGGCTTCAAGACGGCCCGAGAGGCCCCCCAAGCGCTTGAAGAGGGCTCTAAGAGGACACTTATGAGGGCCGCAAGGCACACACATCGCCCAGATTCCTCGTATGTTTGGCCTATGCGTTCTTAGTTGTATACATATATACATATATATATATACATATATATATGTGTATATGTATAGATGTATAAATATGTGTGTGCTTGTATGTATGTATGTATATGTATATATATATATATATATATATATAGAAGTAGATAGCGTCCACGACGGCCTCAGAGTACCCCAAGAGCGCCGCAAGACATCCCAACAGGGCCTCCAAGACGGCCCAAGAAGCTCCCAGGATCGCCCCAAGACGTCCCACAGAGCCCTCCAAGACGACTTCCGTAGGCGCCTGTGGATCCCAGAGCGCTCTGAGACAGTCCAAGAGGCCCACAAGGCACCTCACTCCATACCCCTTTCCGCTCCTCCCAGATCGTTCCCATTCCTCCCCATCCCTCCCCGCTCCAGGCAGGTGTGCTCGAGGCGGTTGCGTCTCTGGCCGCGAGATCCTGCCAGTGCATACCTACATGTACGACCACCCTTCGGGTGATAAGGAGGTTGTGTGTGTGGTGGTGTGGGGGAGGAAGGGGGACCAACTGGAGCTACAACATAGCATCGCATAGCACAGCATAGACGAGCATCGCGTATCATAGCACAACATAGCATTGCATAGCATGTCATCGCATCGCATCACATCGCATATAATAGCATAGCATCGCATGGCACAGGACGCCGTAGCATAGCATCGCATCGCATTGCACAGCATAGTATCGCATCGCATCAGACCGCATAATTTAGCATCGCATTGATAACATAGCGTAGAATTGTACAGCATGGCATAGCACAGCACAGCACAGCATCGCATAGCACCAGACACGACGAGACACCGCGGGACACCGCGGGACACCCCAAGGCCACCGCCAGCCACCCCCGGTCCACTGTTGGCCAACAGGGGGGCACAGCAAAATTTGGCCCAGTTTTGCCGTAAGCACAGATGGTTCTTTCCTCTCGCCTTCCGACGCAGCTTCGCCGCGCCCACACGCGCGACACGAACACGAAACCGAAAACGATTTCCTGGCGGGGGGCTCCTGTTCACTTCGATCTCTTTCCCAACCTCGGATTCTGTCACACCACGGGACACCGCGGGACACCCCCGGGCAACCACTGGCCAACCGAGGGGCGCAGCAGAA